CTGGCCGTCGATCCAACAGGGCGCGCCGGCAACTCGAGGAAAACACTGCTCAACGGTGGCAAGAACGCTCGCTGCACCATTTGGATAGATGCCGCCGACACGGACATCGCCGTTGACGTCGCGACCAGTCACCACAGGAGGACCGGTTGAAAGACCAACGCAGCGGTTCCAAAACTGAAGGAAAATAACAGAATAGCAAGGAATATATTGTTAGTTCAACCAAAATTGTCCTTTATTTAAGAATAAATAGATAGATATACCTTACTCTCCAAACGCAAAAGAGAAAAAAGGATATATGCAAAAAATAAAAATACAAATAAAAAAATATATGCTCGGAACCGGCGCTCTAGAGTAGAAAAAGAGGATGTGGAGAGTAAATTGAAAGAGAATACGGTTCAAATTGATATCTCTCTCTACAACTAAAACATTCATAACTATTCCGTCCACAGGTGTGACACCAAAGCCGCTCGCTCTTCCTGCAACCTGTGATTCCACGACATCTCCTGCATCCCGCATCGCGCACACAAGGAAAGCCCGACGTCCGATAGAAACTTCCCTCAAATTGCCACTATTCGATGGCCCCACGGGATCCCTGTTCGCTAAATGCCACCCCGGAATAGAAACCTCGCCATCCATGCAATCAACCAGCAATAGAAACCTCGTGCAAACGCAGCCATCGCTCGCGCACGCAGACTCGCCATCGAACTGGGAAGCGCAAATCCGATGAGGACACGTCGCTGTAGCTTGCTCCTGCGAAGTACGAGTTGGTGCCTTCGTCGCGGTCCTCCGACGAGGAGAGTGGGTCACGGAGGAGAGGAAACAGAGGAGATAGAAGGAGCTCCTATGATGTGGGGGTCATGCCTGAGAGCCGGCCAAGGATTACTATATGTCAACGCGAAGGATGGGCATGAGAAGAATGATTTCGTTATTCTAAGGTTTAATTCGGTTTTCAATCTAATCCAAATCTTTCCTCCACCCATTCAGTTAGATGTCGAAGCCATCGCGCGGCGGAAGACCATGACGCGGGCGCCTGGCAATGGTTGGGCGGCAGCGTGGGCACGGGCACCAAATGACCCTGGCCCTTGACTCTGCCCTGGCGCGAGCGTGCGCGGCAACCCAGGCCCAGCTTCGGCGCGGCCCCGTAGGCTGCCACTAGCGCCGCGTATGCAAGATATAAATTAAGCATGGTGCTGATGAAGATATAAATATGTCAGCACTGTTATCATTATTGCTCCAATTTATTGACAGTATTTTGATATCAACTCCATAGTGCCTGTGTTTTGTATTGATATTTTTTGAAAGTGAATTAGATAGCCAAATCAATTTCAAACATATGAAGTTGGCGGCGGCGGTGATGCGAGGGGGCATTGTTACCGCCGATCTCGTCGTCGTAGTCGCGGACGTGAGGCTCGGTGCATGCGCAGTTGGATGCGGCGGGCGGCCTTGCGTAGGAATGGGTCATGGCGTGACCTCCACGACGACTACCAAGTGAAGACGACACTGGACCGAGTGAAGACGGCCGGCCTCCAAAGGCTGTCAACAGCATCGGCCACCGCTTCGCGCGCATCACCTACTGCGGCCTCTTCGTTCTCGCCATCTTCTGGTGAGTTCAAAGTGGAGGAAAACTTTGATGGTAATGGGAATAAGGAAAAGAAAATGTCTCAGAAGATCAGCACAGGTGACGGCTTTGCTTCTTCATAAGGCCATTTTTCATCAAGGTATTTTTCCGTCTCGTTACTGCTCCCAATAATACTTGTTAGCCTTTATGTGTATCTTATCATTGTTTCAGAATAACTATTTTAATATTTTCTTTTGTGCTTGTGTCTCTGATATTTACACAATACACAATTCCTTGAATTTGTCACAAGATAGCTATGAGATTCCTGGAATGTTGCTCCACCTGTAAACGTGACAAATACTTATATTGATGTCCTATTGGTCGTCTCAAACTTAGTCATGGCTATCACTTATCAGTATTCACTTTTTTGTAACAATTTTTATCAAAACTAAATAGTAAAAAAATCAAATATAAAATAAAAGGTTTTAGTATAACCCACTTAAGTTTGCCAATTATTAAGTGGTTTGTGTGATGCTTATTTCCGTACTCTTTGTCAGACAGTGGAAAGTTCTAAATTATGAACTCATTTGGATAGAACCAAGTTATATGTTCAATTAGGACCAGAGAGAACTTATACACCTTCCAAATTTACACTAAAATTTATACACCTTTCAATTTATACAGTAGAGCATATAGTCTGTAAAGCGCCAAACTATTTGAATCGATGCTTCTGGTTGATCTCAAATTGTTTGTGGCTGGCTGAATTGAAACCTAAAACCTGAAAATTGGTAAAGACATGATAGCTATTTTTATTTTGCCTTCGTAACTCACATGAAGTCACCAGTGAACCTCAAATTGGCAACCTGTAAGTATTACAGTCAATCTTAGTTAATGAGAATCTTTATGGCCCATATGCATTCAGAGTTTGTAATAGACAGTAAGCTAACTGAATGCTGGATAGTGGATGCATCCATCAGCAGATACCAGCACAATTTAAGATATTTGATTTTATTTTATCAGGTTGGTTACCGAGAAAACTAAAACAATCATATTGTTTGTTGCTCGAGAAAATGAAATGGCCTTTAGTATAACTCAGCTTCTAAAACAGAGAAAAATTGTAAGTAATAAAAAGATTGTGAATTTCAAAAACAGAGAAAATAATTATCAAGAAAGAAAAAAGAAATTAGCTTCCTCCGTCATGTGAAGCCACCTACTGGAAGTTGCTATCGCTTCCTTATGATAAGAACACCAACCTTTTTTTTACTTGTGCAATTGTGCTTTTTTATGAGTTGCTTTTCAGTTGTACTTGGTTTGTACCTCAACCATCAAAATTTAGTCCTTACATTATTATATAGCCTGTAATTTTGTACTATCTTATCTACAATAATTCATCAGGACAGGAGACATGAAATCTAGAACTGAATTTTCATGTTGCATCTTCTGGTTTGTTCTGAATTTTGATTGATGCAAACTTGCCTAAACGTAGAATCTTAAAATGATCAAAATTGTTTGCATTGTGCAAAATAGGATTTAGCAGTCTGCCGTCCTTATATTAACAGATCAATTAGTAGTTATAGATATTTAACAATTTGATCTATGAATGTTTAGCCCATGGGAAAAAAATATAAATGTCTTTAAAAATCTCAATTAATTGTAGAGATTGAGAAGGGGTTCAGTGTACCACTGATCTTAGACTAACACATTCAATTGGTTGTAGAGATAATTTGCAACATGAGTATCTGGAATGATTGCCCTCAACTTAAATAGCTTCAGGCTAAAACTAATTAATATTCTTTCACCTTTGCATCTAATTTTGAAATATGGAAAGATTATTCAAGTATGCATATTTAGAATAATTTTGTAAAGATTTTTTGGTGGTCTCAATGTTCAGAGCATTTGGAACTCTGAATATACAGTTTGTAATGAATATACGATGTTGTGTTGAAGTGGTCGTTTCATAATAATTGAGTCATTTGTTTTATTGCAACTCACAGTTAGAGGTGACTATTTACCGAAGTTCGGAGTGTATTTATTTCTTTGCTTTGGATATTCAGAAATTCACAGAGGTTCAGTACTTCGGTCCGTATGCTCTATCAGAGGTCGTAGGCAGTAGTTCTAGATATTACATCACGGCAATCATATAGCAACAGAGATCCGAAATGCAATAGTCAAAGTGGTATAAATATGCATGTGTTGGATTAAATATTATCCATCAATTAGATGAATCTCTCTGAACACACTGACTGCTTGATACTATCTCACTGAATTGTTTATAATCTTTGAATCTTATCAGTGTCCTTGTGGGATCAGCTGTATTTTAATCTCTTATTAAATCATTAGGCTGATAGGAAGCCAGGATCAGATTTGAAATTGTCACGCATATTGATTTGAAGAATATTAAACATGTTAACATCAAGAATCTTTAAAATTTAGTTTTTTTTCTTGAATTTTCCATCGGCAGTTCATGTATGTACTCTAAACATTTCAAAAGTTTCATTGAACAGTGCCATCCTGTAAATTTCATTGAGCACTAACATGCAAATTTGAATTTATTCTCATTGTTCATGTTTCAAGGATCCTCGTGTAATATTGATAATTGACTCCAAACGGAATATTGGAAACATCATGCTTGAAGTATCGTTTTTTGAATAATGGTACAACATGTGCTAATATTTACATTGTCGTGGTATTATTTTTTCCCGTTGTAACGCACGGACATATATACTCGAACATATATACAGGATGGTATGGAGGTGCAGCGGAACTTATTCGTGGATTTATTGGCGCACGAAATAAATAGATATTGGAGATTTCTTCTTGCCGATATAAAACATTATCTTAGTCGCATCACGAAAAATGTCTATACAATAGAGTTTGTGAGCCTGCGACGCCGCGCTCTCTGGGACTGTGTTAATGTCACGAACTTTGTTTTTTTGATTAAATGTCACTTTAACATCGTTATTTAATTTCACGGTATTGTTATCTTATTTTACGATCCGTGTGTTTTTAATACAAAAGTTTAGCTGTCCCGTAGCAACGTACGGGCACGAACCTAGTATATAACTAAAGGAGAAAAGGCCTTAATAAATTTAAAAATAGTTTACGAATGCAAAATGATTATTAGCTTTTTTATTATTTTCTAAAAATGGTCAAATTAGCTTAAAATTATAAAATGCATAATAATAAATCACGCGATATAGGTGAAAAAGATCATGATGTAACTAGATCTGTATCTTTTTGAATATGTATCGATGGCGAGCAGCTCCTCCTCCGAGCACCGAGCTCAAACACACCAAGAAAGCAAGAAAAGTGTAGCCACCGCGCGCACGACGACACGAGAGTAGTCTACTAGCTAGGCCACCTTGACGTTCAAAATAAGCATAGCGTCGTCTGATCTCTGATCGCGTCGACGACGAGGGTGACCACACCAAGGCCGAATATGATGGCGGCCACCATATCTTCCTGCCTGAGCGTCCTGCCCACCGTGCACCACCGGGGCATCCCCAATGCGGCACTGATGAACACGCTTCAGCACCGTCGTCGTTCTTGCCGCTATGTCGTCGTCGCCTCGGCGTGCACAACCGACCGGGCGGCCCCTGTGATCGGGGACACGGGCCCCGGCTCTGTTCAGGCGGCGAAGCCGTCCGGGCATTCTGACGACGGACAACTGGCCGCACGGTGGCGGGAGATCCATGGTAGCAACAACTGGGAGGGTCTCCTGGACCCCCTCGACGCGGTGCTCCGCGGCGAGCTCATCCGCTACGGCGAGTTCGCGCAGGTCACCTACGACAGCTTCGACTACGACCGCTTCTCCCCCTACTGCGGCAGCTGCAAGTACCCGGCCAGGACCTTCTTCCACGACGTCGGCCTCGGCGGCGTCGGTTACGAGGTGAGCCGCTACCTCTACGCCACCTGCAACGGCCTCAAGCTCCCCAACTTCGCCAACCGGAAGCACACGGCCGCCGACGCCAAGCTGTGGAGCGAGTCCGGCACGTTCATCGGGTACGTGGACGTGTCGACCGACGAGGAGACGGCGCGGCTCGGCCGCCGGGACATCGCCTTGGCGTGGCGCGGCACGATCACCCGCCTCGAGTGGGTGGCCGACCTGACGTCCGACCAGATCCCGCTGCGCGAGACGGGCGTCCCGTGCCCGGACCCCGGTGTGAAGGTGGAGAGAGGGTTCGCGGCGCTGTACACGAACAAGGACGCCGACTGCCGGTTCTGCAGGTACTCGGCGAGGGAGCAGGCGCTGGCCGAGGTGCGCAAGCTGGTGGAGCTGTACCACGGGCGGGGCGAGCCGGTGAGCGTGATGGTCACGGGCCACAGCCTGGGCAACGCGCTGGCGATGCTGTGCGCCTTCGACGTCGCGCAGACGCGCGCGAACGCATCGCCGGACGACAGCAGAGTGGCGGCAGTGTGCGTGTTCTCCTTCCCGGGGCCACGCGTCGGGAACGTCGGCTTCCGGTGGCGGTTCGAGCGGGATCTCGGCGTGCGGGCGCTGCGCGTCGTGAACGTGCACGACAGGGTGCCCAAGGTGCCCGGCGTGTTCTTCAACGAGGTGGCGTTCCCGGAGCTCGTGCTGCGGGCGGTGGACAGGCTGGGTGTCGGTGGCGTGTACACGCACCTGGGCGTGGCGCTGGAGCTGGACCACAGGGCGTCGCTGTTCCTCAAGGAGACCTTGGACATCTCGTGCTACCACAACCTGGAGGCGCACCTGCATCTGCTAGACGGCTTCCGCGGCTCCGGCGAGGGGTTCGAGCTCCGAGGCAGGGACCCCGCGCTGGTGAACAAGTCGGCCGACTTCCTCCGGGAGGACCACATGGTGCCGCCCGTGTGATACCAGGCGGAGAACAAGGGCATGGTGAGGACGGAGGACGGGCGGTGGGTGCTGCCGCCGCGGCAGAGGGAGCTCGACGAACACCCGGAGGACACTGACCATCACCTCCAGCGGCTCGGTCTCGCCGCGTGAAGCTCAACAATGATGAGAGGCCTGTGCTGCTGTGCACGCTACTACTGTAGTCCGTGTTATTAGCAATAATCTGATGTGCATGTACAAACATAGCGTTAGCGTGTGTGACGCGTGCGTGCGTGGGCACTGGGCAGTCGGTTACTCTGGTGCCGCGCGCACGGCAGCTCGGTGGCGTGGATAGCGCGCTCCAGAGCGCGTCGATGGCGTGCATGACGCGGGTGACGTGCGTCGGCAGTCGGTTACTCGATCTGTTACCGTGCGCGTTCGTGGCCGCAGAAAGGTCGCGTTCGATTGTAATTCCATCTACTTGTGTTTGCAAGAGTCAGAAGAGCTGCTGCTTGCAGCGCCAAAAATCTCTGCGATTTTCATCCGTTCTTCCGTTCTGTTTGCCGTCCGACGACAGAGCAAGAGCGTGATCGAGAGAGAAGAGGGCGTTCACGAGTTAGGGCGACAATTGGCATCGAAGCCGAGGTTTGGGAGAAGGCAGCGGAGCTACTATGTCTCGTACCCTCCATGCCGTGGCAGTGCACCACCTTCACAATGACGGTCAGCCTTGGTTCTGTGTTTTCTGAGGCTTACACCTAAACATAATCTGGAAGACTGGAAAATTATATGATACATACATACATGAAACAAAGACACGAAGAAAATATATTGTAACTAGTTAATCAAGATAGTTCATAATGACCCCTCAATCTAAGCACACTCTTATATGTTCATTATTCTCTTAACCAAGATATGCTTTAAATAAATGGATATGTCTAGGTAACATTCAGTTGTTTTTGTCTCTCCTATCAATGAATTTTTTCCTATGCACTTACACTGGCTTATAACTATATTTACATTGTCTTATTAATATATTTACAATGATATCTTCAGTGTAATTTAATGGACACATTGGTGTAATTTAGGGTTAACACAAATATATGTCAAATTTTTCAGAAAAATTTATAAATTATTTCTATAGACTGCAGATATCAGAGAAATATATGTAAATTGTTCACAAATATTATTAGATTGTTCACAAATTGTTGCCAAATTTTAGAAAAAAACCACAAATCTTCGCAAATTGCGGAAGGGAGGGAGCTCCGGGCGTCCTGCCATCCAGGCCAGCTGCTGGCCGGCGTTGCCGCGCCGCGCGCTGGGATCTGGCACTTGGCGGAGTGGCAGGCCGGCGGGGTGGGGGTCTAGCGGCTCGCGCTGGGCGGCCGCCGGCTAGCGGGGCCGCGCCGCTGCGGAGGAGTCCGGTGTGGTGGAGCGGCGGCCAGGCGTCGGGAACGGAAGGAAGACAGCCGCCTACGTCGGTCGCGCACGCGTCGGGACTCAGGATCGAGAGAGATTCAAGGGAAGGGAGACGCCATGTGAGCCGAGTCGGGAGCCACAACCATCGGGCGGACGCCATCGAAAGGCCAAAAAATCGGTTGATAGAAGGGCCTAAAACAGTCGGTTGACGTATATCGTTTCTGTAAATAAATTATTGTATATACACATTGAATTGATCAACTACACCAACTTCATTCATTCATCATGTAGACCTACGGCACAACGACAGTATTCACCATTAAAGTGAACAGGGAAAGTAATTATAAACTGATGCGTTGGCCATTGCTACCCAAAGAAGTTGCATGTTGTCATTGTCCCGTAATACTGTTCCGTTTCATCTGGGGCCGCGCCATGGCTGCTGTCATCTCCATGAATATGATCGTAGCAATAGCCTGCACAGCCGGCGATACGGTTGTGTTCTGGGTGTTCAGAGCCACAGTTGAAAGGCAGCAGCTGCTGCGGCGGGGGCGGCAGAAGATCAGGAGGCAGCATCGTCGTGGGAGAAAAGCCGGCAGCGGCGAATGGGCCGCATGGCTGACGTTGCCGCCCAATAGCATCATCGTCCGCGTGTCCATGCCTCCCTGGTGGCTGCTGGTGGCACCGCCGTCGGCCGTGAACGAGCCGTCACCGAGGTCAAAGTGGAAAGTGTCACTGGCGCCCGTCTCCGCCGCGTACCATTGCACCATAGCCTCCTCGGCGAACATCTCATGCGCGCGCTCCGCCGCCTCGGCCTGCACCCGCTCGAGCGCGGCGAGCATGGCGACGAGGCCCGGCATACCCCAGCCGCGCACGTCGTCGCTGGTCCACACGCCGGCCGCGCGCGCCGCCGCGTCTAGCTCGTCCCGCCTCCGCGCCTCCGCCGCGATGGCACTGCGCAGGCGCTCGCACTCGCTGTCGAAGCCGCCGCACAGGATCGTCGGGCGCGTCGTTGCCTCGCTCGCCGCGGCGGCGGCGGCGGAGGGGTCGCAGTAGCGCTCGATGACGGCGTCCACGGAGGGGTGCGCGAACGAGTAGGGCTTCCCGGCCGGGGCTGGGGAGAACACGACGATGGCGACCTGCGCGCCGGTGAGCGCGCAGAGCTCTGTGGCCTTGTTGAGGAGGCCTACGCGCGGCGCTTGGAGAAGCACACGTTCCTCGCCTCGGGCCACTGGATGGGCTTGAGATCTCGATCTTCTGACGCCCCAGCGTCTTCTTCCTCTTGCGGTCCCCGCCGGCCTCGCCGACCCTCTCCGCCTCCTTCGCCATGCCCATCGTTGCCACGTACACCTTGGAATGGGCTCTCAATGGCGAGAGCAATGCTTGAGGAGAGAGATGCCTCGACGTGCTACGGAGGAATGTGGCTATATAAGGAGCAGAAAAGATGCGTGCAAGGAAAGCGAGAGCTCTCTATCAGAGATATCTCGCGATTGTTGATTGATCGATCGGTCGGTACCAAACTTGAGAGTGTTTTTTTTTAATGATCTGTCAATTAGGAGACCAAATCCATCTTTGGAATGGAAGTGTCAACGTCCATGCTTGTCGGCCTTGTCACTTTGTCAGACGCAACGAGGATGACGAATCATCCTTGGCAAGGCTGCGCATGATCTCGTCATGCCCTCTCGCCTTTATTGAAAGGAAAAGTGAAAGCGATTTGTGTAATGGAAAGAATAATTTGATTGATGAGTAAATTATACAGTGATTACATATTTATATTCCCGGAAGGGGTGAGTACATGACTCTTCGTACAGGAAACTGGCCCTTTCGGGCTAGGTCCTGAACGGTTGGTGCTAATCTTAATTAGCACATGTCTAATTACATTTAACACATGACTAATGACGTCATTAACTGCTAATTGATCACTAGTGACTATTTCTAACACTCCACCTTGATCAATTTGCTCCTTGAATCTTCACGTGAATATCCTTGTCACGACGTCCATTAGTCTATTAGGAATCAGTTGAATATCGAAGAAAATTGAAAATTGATCCTTGATATTTCCTTGAATATCCTACTGGGAAAAATAGAAAAACATACATAGATTTTTGTATTGATATTGCATTGTTAAACCTCCCATGAGAAAATTAATTAATAACTCATGTACGATTAGGAAATGCAATTTGATGTGTGAACAGGATTAACTCAGGAAGAGACTCCCCCTGAACCTTGCAAATCTCTGAGACGACGCATACCAATTCCATGAATATATTTTTGGAATGTGGTTGCTGGTAAAGATTTAGTGAATAAATCAGCATAATTATCATTAGACTTGATTGGCAAAATGTTAATTTCCCCATTTTGTTGTAACTCATGAGGATAAAATAACTTAGGGGCAATATGTTTTGTGATATTGCTCTTAATGTATCATGTTTCCATCTGTACAATACAAGCGGCATTATCTTCATAGATAATGGTAGGTGCTTCGATAGAACCTATACCACATGATTGTTGTATATGGTTAATCATTCTGCGTACCCACACACATTCGCGTGATGCCTCATATAATGCAATGATTTCAGAATGATTAGTGGATGTAGCCACTAAAGTCTATTTTAAAGACTTCCAAGAAATGGCAGTCTCACCGTGTAAAAATACAAAGCCTATTTGAGATCTGGCGTTATGGGGATCTGATAAATAACCAGCATCTGCATATCCAATCATACTTGGATCTAATTTTCTTTGAAAGAAAAGTCCAAGATCTTTTGTGCCATTGAGATATTTGAGGATATTCTTGACTCCTGTCCAATGTCGCTTGGTAGGAATAGTGTCGTGTCTAGCTAGTAAGTTCACTGCAAAAGCGATATCCGGCCGGGTGCTGTTTGCAAGATACATGAGCGCTCCAATTGCACTAAGATAAGGAACCTCAGGTCCCAATATCCCTTCTCCTTCGTCACGTGGTCTGAAAGGATCTTTATTTAAGTCTAAAGACCGTACAACCACAGGAGTTTTTGTTGGATGTGCTTTATCCATATTGAATTTCTTCAAAATTTTCTGGATGTAAGCGGCTTGGTAAACAAATATTCCTAAAGGAATATGTTCAAGTCGTAAACCAAAACAAAATTTGGTTTGACCCAAATCTTTCATCTCGAATTCCGTCATTAGATGATTACGTGCTTCATTTATGTCTTGCACATGACCTATGATGTTTAGGTCATCGACATATACAGAAATTATGCAAAACCCAGTTTGTGATTTCTTAATCAATACACATGGTGAATCATCATTAGTTGTGTGTCCCTTCTGAAGAAGAAATTCACTTAGTCGATTGTACCACATTCGACCCGATTGCTTTAAGCCATAAAGTGACTTTTGAAGCTTTACACAATACATGTTGCGGTTTGCGTTAGGATTCGGTATTGGGATTCCATCAGGAACCTTCATGTATATGTCAGAATCCAGTGACCCTGAAAGTGCATTTGCCCCCAATGTGGGTTTTGGTGTATTGATGACATCCAAATTAGGGACTAATGTGATCTTAATGAGATATGTCGCAGCTATTAGTCCCATGAAAGATTCAAAGAGTTGATAAAGATGAAATGGTATCCCTCAATTCTTGAAGTTGTAAAGGC